AAATGCATAGGAACTGATATGATGGATGTAGAAATGATGGTTAAAGACGAACAAGCAAGCAAAACTACCTTTGATTTTGATAATTCTGCCTAAAGGTTAACAATGACCTGTTAAAATTTGTGTCATTAAATGTATACAATTAGATTCTTGATCATATTTAGAACATAGCCTAGTTCACCCTTTATACACTGATAATTGAGGATATTGGCACAGCATAACTTATAAAAAAAAAAAGCATGAAAAGATAACAACTAAAACTGTTTCAGATGTGTATAAATCTACTAGATATATGTATTAATGTGATTATTCGATGACATACAGGAAGATTGTAACCCACGTTGCACACAGGAAGTTCAAATTTCTTTTGTCTCAGACAGAAGTTGCATGTCCATGTTTTCTAAGGTCTATGGTTTAAACACTAGGTAATCATTTGCAATATTTTTATATTTTAAATAAGAGTTTGATTTCTGTCAATGCCGTTTAAGCCCAGTAATGTATATAACAGATAATTAACACTGATTTGGGTAAAGTGCGTTTTTGTGTATCTGTCCGGCGAACACTTTCATGGACTGTCATTTTTTTGATTTTCATTATCAGTATGTACACAGCTACAGTGGAATTGAACGTCCATTTATTTTTGTCTTATTTTGTCAATTTGCATCAGAACATTGATTTCTTCCGGGAATTAATTTTATAGTATTCCGTGGTTTCAATATGTATTGCCAATGAAACTGGAAATTAAAATACCGTCTTTATTAGGAAGCAATGCCGTATATGTGGAAGGGAAGTTCCATTTCAATCAGGGATTCCTTGGTGGATGTTATAGAAATAGAAGAGAGACAACTGGCCGACGAGATATCATGCAACTCTATTTGAGGGACAACAAGTCGCGTGGCTCTCTCGCTGTCAACGAGATCTCGCCGGCGAGTTATCATCCTCTGTCATGTAGCAAATTGAGCGGACCCCGGGCCCTGTTTGTGCGGACGAGCATGAAGCATCAGAGTTATTGCTTCGCTTTGTGTTCGGTGTAAAACGCGAGTAAAATACATAACACGAACAAATATATTCATATATATATAAGACAACTATACATATATTACTAGTAAATGTGATCAAACATACGATTAACATGAACATTCAGCTACCAGGGTGTTAGCAAACCAGAAGTGTACCTAACTCTGTCATACGAGTGCACAAGCCGTTCTGTAAGGAAACACAGATTACAAATCAATTGTTTGACGGATACTCGAAACACATTATCTACTTTGACAGTTGGCATTTACACAATGACAGGTGTGTGTATCACATCAGCATCGAATTGGATAGTTTTGGCTGACATTTGTTGAAAAAATGCCAGCTTTCTGTCCAAGTGTCTGAGGTCCAAAAACAAACAAATCTAGGATTAACATGGCATTAATGAAGTCGCACCTATCCCATGAATTCCGTTTTATGTAATATTTGCCATAACGTAACAACAAGTTTTTTAAAGAAATAAGTGTACGTGTACGTTGTATTTAATAACTTGCATTTGCACTTTTCATTCTGTGACAGAACACGTATTGATTGGTCAGTTGTTTGACGAACAATAACACTTGAACAACTTTGGCAGTTACATAGGGACATGTGTGTCTATTATGCGTAGATTAATTTTCATTTGATTGACGTTTGTTTAAGAATGCCAAATTTCTGTTTGAGGTATAATGACCCATAGTATAGACATTACCCCCCCCCCTTCCAAAAAACAACAACAAAACACAAACTCGTTCTATGTTTATTTGGCCCACACTATCAATATTGCAGTAAATTAGAACGTGTGACCTCTATCAGGTTTATGCGATTGAGTTCTGTCGTTTTCCACGACGTTCAAGTTGCATGAACAAGAAACGGCGTTTTGATGTTCGAAATGTATTCCACCGTAGTGCGGTAAAAACAAACTGAGTTAAGGGGTTAAGGGGTTATTAGGTGTGTTACTGCAGATTTGAACATATGCATGGAAACAGCGAAGTAAAATAAACGGGGTTAGATAGTTCTCGCCCGACTGTTCAGAATTTGATTTTCGACAGATAATACAGTTCTTCATTAGTCACTTTACATTTTTGTTCAGATACAGACAGTGAAATAAGCAAATTTACAAGAATAGCCTGGCTGGAATGTTGTATTTGTCACTATCCCACCGGTTTGAAAATCTCACCGTAGTGCGTCCTCATCGCTCTGAAGGGACGGGAACTTTAGATGTTATCGTATGATTGGGGATCAACTATTGGTCTGATAGTGTACCTCTTGCATTGGCTGTTGTACAGCGTGGCTAGACTCAAATTAATTCGGTGTGTTTTATTTTCATTGTCTGACAAAGGACAATACGCTGCGTAACAATTTTAAAAACAATTTTAAAACTAAGAGTGAATAAGGTAGTGTCCGATCTGACCGACTAGCTCCCAGTCTGGTATACTTATGATGCCATCAGATTATTAAGGTTGGTGACAAATGCCACTCGTCGTATAAAAAAATGCCTAAATTTTGTACACCGATTCTCCAAAGACATGCCACTGTGACACCTCACGCATATCTATTAGACCCGTAAATAACCTCTATGATGCAACGAATGTCCCCAGACAGCTGTAAGGTGATTCGTGTTATTTTGTTTGTTTCTTATTGACACCGACAGGCTTGATATTTAACATCGGTATATACGTCTCTTTGGTCATTTGGTCATTTGGAAATTTCAAGGTCATATATCAGTTGTTGAAGCATTATCCGACTTGTTTATGTGACAATATTTTGTAATATTTACCCAACGTACAACTGAACCATGTCAAAGAAACAATCCTGGGCGCTCTGTCTGGAGGTGATATCTTGACACAACTGATTGTCATCATTCAACCAAAGCCGAAATATTCAACTGAATAGATCAATATGGGTTATCGATAATGCTTGTTTTAGTTATCAAACAGGTATTATTCATTGTTTATATCTCCATACCGTTTACCTTTGAGCCTTTCTGTCAGTCTCGATAGCTGAGTATGGTATCACCGTACGCCACTCAACTTTTAAGCTGCTATCGCTGTTCTTGTCACATTGATTTTTTATCAAATTGTTGATATCTACCAATAAGAAATTAGACAGAACTGATACGAGTATAGAATGATGAATATCAAACGATCATATGTGATTACAAAGGCGTATGTTGTCTTATGTCATCGTCTACCATTGTTCGTGAGAGCAAAATATAGACCACCAAACGGACAATGGCTGGTTACTACACCATGCATTTAAAGGTTTAAGGTAGCGGGACTATTATTTGCATACTTGTTTTCATCTTCTAATTGTGACTAAATGACTACAAATAAACCCGGGAAAGTATATATTTTTAGAATCGCCAGACTTCAAGCTTTTCACAAGTGTATTTTGCATGCCCGTATCTGCATTCTACGACGCGTTACTCAATCAAAGGTGAAAAATTACTTTTTCTGTAAAAAAAATAATTACGCATTTATGCTGGCGATAAGAAGTATTTTTTTCACTTTTCCTAGTTGTTCAATAGTCTGGTAGATTGAATGTGTCTGGTCAGTTTTATTCAAGCAACGCGTTTTAAAAAATAGTGTGCTGAATTTCAATTACTGTTTTAGTCGCATTGGCCCCAACTCAAACCACAACTCGTTGGTAAATAATCGATGAAATAGTTTGTCTGGACACATTCAAGTTCCTCTCACTGTCACCTTAAAGCTGTGAAAATTTGGTGTTAATCCGACGACAATAAG